CTCTCCTTAGCAACTTTGTTGCGAGAGTATAAAAATCATAATGGCATTTAAAACCCAAAAATTTTGAATGGTCATTAGGCTAAACATTGCCCGGATTATGTTTTTAAGCAAATGGTAAGTGCCTTCCTAGCATTCACGCAGCTCGGCTGGGACATTTCTAACGGCTTACTAATTTTGCATCATCTGTAAAAGTGGTTGTTGGTATATATTACACACATGATATGGAGGTTAAGTAAGATCTTTTCTGCAGTGAATCTCATTTCTTTTTATCACTCGGTAAGCGAAGTTGTATCCCTATAAACCTATGACACTATGAGCTGCATATGAAAGCCTAGATTCATTATGCTGTGCCGCTCAGTTTTACAGTTGTATTGACTCTCTCTTCAATTAAATAGAAAACAAGTACAAGAAGTATGCAAAATTGGTTTTAGGTGCTTAGATGCTCTACAAGTCACAATCACAGCAATATCGATAAAATTGTTTTAAGACTAAAACGGTAACTCGTCTGTTTGCTGCACAGAACTGAAGCTTTAGAAATTTATTTCATTGATTTTAAGTACTGTCTTCATATGGAAATCGACAAAGCTATACTGAAGAAAAATGTCAAAAACATGTGTTTGACGGCTGGGTTGACAGTTATGTCTTTAGAAAACTCCATTCTAAGCAACAAAGCTGTTTAATCTCCGAAAATTTTGCCGACAAAATGTTTGTGTTTTAATTAAATTAATGTCAATATTTTAATTAGAGAAATATAAATATTTATTGAAAGCACAAATATTATCTTCATATTTGGTCGGAATTGACAGAAGCAAAAGTCATTTCTTGCGCACGATATAATCAAATATTGGCTTTAGGAGGAAATATAATTAAAACCAAAACAACACTCGACAATTAAAAGCAACAAATAACTGAAACAGCAACAAGTAATCAAAACAGCAACAAAAAAAATGTTGTTTCGTTTATAAATGAGTTGGCAACTTAGCTAAGCGGACTACAGCTACACGAGGCCATGAATATCTTTTTGCATTAAATAATTGCATTTGTGTGCTAAGTCCTCACGTATTGTGCGGCATTATAACTGAAAGCGGTCATATTTAATTAATGGTATTAAAGCTATATTTCACGGTGGGCTTTGGTGGCAGCAATCAGCGCAAAGTCGATTTCACCAGTTTAAGCTGTTGCTAATAAAATGACTACTGCGAAAGGTATAAGCCAGTCAAATAACTGTATGTATGTGTAAGTGGCTATTTTTGTATAAATACTTTATATGTATATGTGCCTATATACACACATGCATTAATAACTAACCAACACTAATTTTCGCCAAACCAATTTTCATTTCAATTTTACGGCGCTCGTGACACGCCACTGCAATTTTCAATGCTGCTGCTTGCTGATGTAATAACAAATGCAACAATAATCAACATTTGAATTGCAACAATAATCTACAAATTCAACCCGACTTCAATTGGCCGGCGGCAATGTGCCTGAAATTTGCAATTAACTTCATGTCATTATTTCGATTTTATTGCTACACCGCACATTCAATTCGCTTAGAAGCGCGTGCTGAAATCTCTGGACCGCCAATACGCTATCTGACTCCGGGCTCTACGCTGCGCCTGCAATGTCGCGTCGTGCAAAATACGGAGGCGTCCGAGTTCATATTCTGGTATCATGACAACCGCATGATCAACTATGACAGTGATCGGGGCATAAATGTTTCGACGGAGCCGGGTGAGTAAATTTTGTGAATAAGAATGATATAAGTATATAATAGGTAATGTTTCATTGAATGAGGGAGCTGTTGATTATTTTTGTTTTATTATTTTGTATTAATCACCGATTATCGCTTGTGTCCCTAAAAACACTCAAGTTGAGCAAAATTTTCGTTATTAGATAATCATACCATTTCTGGCATTCCTTTTGATCTAGCTGTAGTATTCAGCAGCCGATTTAAGAAGATATTTTCTTAAAAATTAACATTTTTTTATTAAAAATATATCTAGTATTGCCAAGTGACGGTCGTTGTTAGAAAATTTTTTTTTTTTTTTTTTTGTTAGTCAAAAATGTTAACGAACCCAAGTTTCAACGCGCTGGTATACACCTTTCTAATTGTTTTAGCATAGCGGTTCCGGCCTCATTTTGTGACTGACAGTCAAAAAATTTTAATTATCAATATTGCTTAAAAAATGCTCAAACCCAGAAAACTAGATCATCAAATAGTTTAATTAAAAAATAATTGCTTTTGTATAATTGAAGCTTCGGTATTTGAAAAATAAAAATTTATATGGAATTAGTTTTTAGTAATATTATTTATAAAAAAGTATTATATATATATAGAGTAGATATTATTGCTAAATAAATGGCATTAAATTTTATTATTAACACAAATCGTGCGCAGTCACCTACATACATACATATACAAGTACAGCTCTACATGCTCAGCAGTGAAAACAACTATTTGCAAACTACTTCAAAACTAGTACACTACTTGTTATTAGAAATAGCTGCGTGAGCACAATTAGTTGGTCTAGCAATTACCTCTAACTATCAGTATTTATGTGCTGATGTGCTAAGTGATTCAACTGCCAGATTTCGATAAACAATATAGCAGTCTTATACCAGCACTTAATAAGTACCTAAATATTTTATTTCAAACCATATTTTCAAAAAATTCTTAAAGCATTTTTCAAATTAGAAAAACGCTTCTATAACAACTACTGATTCGCAGATATAACTAAGCACTCTTTCTGCATCAACTCATCGAAAAATTGCTACAAGTCTAGTGCTTATCGGAACACTTCGTTACTAGTCAGCAAATTTATATTTAACCCACATTTTTTCTGACTAGTTGAACATGTTACAGCATTATATATAACTACATCTACATACACGCACAAATAATTATATTCGCCTCAAGTGATGCAATAAATGTGTTTGCTTGCATTTCCGTACGCAAACGAAAGCGACACTTTACGCTTATTTTATATGCAGTTTCACATATTTGCGCTATAAAGTGCATTTTCTCATATCGAGAGCACAGCCGAGTTGAAATTCAATATTTTGTATGCCATGAGGCTGTGAATTTGCATATACACGCCACTGCGAGTATTCGGATAAGCAGCAGTGCTTGCCAATAGCGTCAATCAACTTACACTTCCGCTTGTCTTCGACGCATTTGCACAACACATGCAAGCAGTTTTGTGAAGACGCTGGTAGGACACAATATGATGATACTAGAGTGGGGCGACCTAAAACAGTCGTTTGTTTTATATAGTTACTCAGAAAGTTCTGAAATAGGTATTGTTTTTTATGCTCTTGATCTTATATGAATATTTTTAGGTCCACAAAATAATTTTTTAATGAAAATAAATGTTTAGTGCTTTAACTGCATACTCCCAACATAATGCTTATAAATAACAATAAACTTTCTGACGCATACTCCCTTCATATTTCACAGATTTCCAATCATCGGAGTTAACAATACAGCGCACACGCCGTGAACATTCCGGAAATTTTACCTGCGTAGCCAGTAATACACAACCTGCAAGTGTGTTGGTGCATATTTTCAAAGGTGAGGAAAAATATTTATGTGTATTTTGCAAAGACCCCGAAACCTTTTAGAAAAAATACGAAAATTGTATATGTTTTTAACAACCCTACGGAGTTTTAGTATCCATGAAAACTTATTTCGAGAACATGTATCCTTGACCACGAGTACTGTGTACAAAATGACGCAAAAATACATCAGTGTGGAAAGTAATTTCCGAACGTCACACTGGCGTGCATTATTAGGGACTTCTTCTAAATAGGATACTTTCATGGGAGACTAATTTCGAAGACTGAGCGACGAAGATATTGATTGCCTAGCATCGCAGCAAAATAGTCGTTAACATAAAATTTAATCTTTTTGGTTCTAAGACACCTTAGTCAAGGTGTATTACACCTTAGTGATACACACTGCCAGAAAAGGTTATACTTCCGAGGTAGCTCAATAATTTTCAAGAGTGCTGCTCATCAACTCTGATGTTCCATGATCGTAACCAACCTATACCATAGATCTATCCACAAATAAGTGGAAAAGTGTATGGCTAAGAAAGTTGTTACCAGACTCTCATAATCTGGGTTAATAAATAAGCTACAGAGAAGTGACTTTGATAGTGGTTTAGTGAGCTCTTGCCCTCAGTAAGTCTAGCCATTGTCTTGGGTATTACCCGATGCCAGTTGTATAAACTAGGATCCCCAACTTAAGAATAAACCTTTCAACTCAAAATTAAAATTGTATGAAAACAATATTATTAAAACAACGGGTGGACATCTAGGAGACAATGGTTCGAAGAGAGTTGGTCAGAGGTCTTTGATAATGCCTAAGTTTGCTATGAGAAAGTAGAATACGTTGTTTTAAAAGCTATCTAGGAAGATTGTGTGTGCTTTGAAGAATGTTAAAGTTGCTTAATTTAAGAAATAAGTAACAGATAAAGTTAGACGCAACAGATGTTTAACTGTGTAAACTAAGCGTAAATATTACTGACTTTCAGGCTTCCGACGGCTTTTAGGAGAATTATTATATTTTTATTACTTTTATATAATTCCGTTGTATGTACATATATGTATGTATATACATTCGTCTTGGTAAAAATTGTACTTCTCTAGAAATTCTTCTTAAATAGTACCAACGCTTTAACTAACACATGCTGACAAGTATTCTTAATTAGGAAAATATCGGGTGATTTTTTAAGAGCTTGATAACTTTTTTAAAAAAAAAAACGCATAAAATTTGCAAAATCTCATCGGTTCTTTATTTGAAACGTTAGATTGGTTCATGACATTTACTTTTTGAAGATAATTTCATTTAAATGTTGACCGCGGCTGCGTCTTAGGTGGTCCAT